GGGGGGGCTGTGCTTGTGCCAGAGGCTGCCAAGCGGAGACTGGAGGAGGAGCAGGAGCAGGCGGCAGGCAGTGTGCAAGTCCTCAGCTGGAAACCCTGGAGAGCCACTGCCGGTCAGAGCAGGCGACGCTGACCTGGATGGATGCCTCAGTCTCAGGCAGCCTCATGGCCTGTTCCACTGCCCGCCATTCTGCAACTGGGGCTGCCCCGGGGTGTGTGTGTGTGGGTGTGTGTGTGTGTGGAGCCTACGGCCTGTCCTCAGCCCCCCCCCAAAAAAACCCCCACGTTTCCTTCCTCAGCTGCCACCTTGGCAGGGATGCAATTTCTGCACTGCGATGCCCTCCGCGATGCCACCGTCCAGGAGCTGGTGGCTGCTGTCGAACAGCCGAGGCTGGCCCTGGGAGCCGAGATCGGGGTGGGGGCTGTTTTCAGAGCACCCCAACTCCCAGGGGGAGGGCCTGCCCCTTTGGCCTTCCCCACTGCTGCTGTGGAAGCAGCGCAGGCCGGGGGCTCGCGGATTAGGGCAGGCCTCTCGGAGCGCCCAGCAGAAGGGTGAATGAGGGGGGCCACCATCAGACAATGATGCACACACGTGGCCACAAGCCATGAGAGCCGGGAGGATTTCCGGGATGGCTCCCTGGCCACAGAGACGACACAGGCTGACCTGGGGCGAGCAAACGAGTGGCAAGTGGCCTGGCTCTTCCGGACGCCGGGCCAAATTCCTGGGTGGCACCCTAAGAGGCGGGTGTGTGAGATTTGTGCTCACGCACCACAGAAACACCAGAGGGGGTGGGGGGCCGGGGTGGGGGTGGGAACTGGGAAGCCAACCCGGCAGCCAAGGGCCTTGGGGCGGCCCACCTAGTCTTGGGCCCCATCGCTTGCCACGGCCTCTGTACAGCCCTCCCCCCCCCGCAGAAAACATCCCTGCCTTCTCACGGCGGTCCTCCCAAGGGAGTCCGGGGTGGAGCCCACTCCTCCCTCGGCTTTACCAGCCAAGAGGAAAGGGCATCCCGCACCGAGCAGCGGGTGCAAGGGGGCAGGGCGGCGGCGGCAGCAGCAGCAGGGGGGAGGCATTCCGGGGAGAGGGAGTGACGGCGAGGCAGTTTTACACGGAGGGATGTGTGCTGCTGCTGCTCCTTCTCCCCTCAAGGGACCCCCCACCCACCGGCACCAGCCTGACCCCAGCGAGGCCTTAAGGCGGGGGAAGGCGAGGAGCCTGCCGGACGAGGGCCCCTGTCAGCACCCGGGAAGGATTCGGGTCAGGCGGCCCAGAGAGAAGGGGCGTCACGCCCCCACGGGCCGGGGGCCACCCGGGCCTCGGTCCGGCTTCAGGGGCCTCGGGGAAGAGCCCGCCTACCTCGCTGGTGCGGAAGATGATCCTGTACTGGTACTGAGGCCCGTGCTCCCGGTGGTCCTCCAGCTTCTCGCGCCGGAGGCTGACGGCCACGGGCCCCAGCTTCTCGTCCACCCCAAAGTAGTTGGAATGCTCTGGGAAGGGAAGAGAAGGGGGCAGATGTAAAATTTCTGGATATTTTGAAGCTTGGAAAAAAACCCCGGTTTTTTTCGGGGGGAACGGAAATTTTCGGAAAAATTGAAAAAATTCTACATTAGCACTTCTTTTTTCTTTTCCAGATTGAAAGTCATTCTGTTACTTTAGGAACATAAAATATGACTATGGACATTTTTACTTGGCATGAAATGATCACAACTAGCATATTAAAAATATAGTGTATCCAAACAATTATTACAAACAGGATACCCACCCACATGCAAAAACAAAACTGAAACCTTTTTCTTTTCTTGTGACAACAGCACCTCCTAAAGGAAGAAATGCATCTTGTTCTTGCACTGGAGAGTTCAGTTTGGAACCTAAGACTTGCCTGTCCTCAGTGCACAGAAAGTAGATCGATCTGATACCATACATATTTTTTAGAAATGATTTGGAAAATATTTGAACACCTTGTCCTAAAATATTTTATTTATCGTGTTAAAATAAAACGTTCCATAATGAATTTTTTCCCTTTTCTTTTTTCAATTTTTTCAAAAAAATAAAACAAAAAAGACTTCAAGGAAAAAACACGGGGAA